GAAAACAGTATTGCTTGCTATTCAGATCCCCTCCGTGGTGTCGCCTTATCGTGGTGAGGGGCTCACGTACCGGTGAGCCGGTCCCTGGGACCGGTGTGGGTTGCCATCGCCCCCTCTCCTGCCCCTCTTTGGGTGTTGTACGTGTGGAAGGGCACCACGTAGGGTCCTTGTGAATCATCGGACCGCCCGCTGGAGGGATCGCCCGTGAGGGGCTGCCCTAAGTGGATGGCTGGGGCGATAGTGGGAATGAGGTCTTTGCACCTGTGTGGGAGGATGGACGATTCAGTAGGACTTCCCTGTTAAAAAGGGGAGCACCGCTGGGGACGACACACCCCTTCCTACACTGGCCCGCGCTCGGCCTCCCTGGCTGCCCTGCTAGTCTCCGGAGGCAGGCGACACACGTGTGTGTGTCGCCTGCCTCCGGAGACTACCATCTTCACGACAGAACTTTATGCTATTCTCTATGCTCTTCGTCTCCTGCTTTCTCGTTGTCAGTCCTCCTTTGTGGTTGTAGTTGACTCTCATAGCTCTGGAGTCCGTTAATCCAGTCCATCCGTGGTCGTCGAGATTCAACATTGACAGTTTCTTATCTCCAGTAAATTTAAGTCGGTAGGGTTTTGCTGGGTTCCCAGCCATGTTGGTGTCTCTTTAAATGAACGTGCAGACGCCACCATTAGAGCAGCTGTCCACTCTTGTCCCATCTCCCATAAAGGTATTTTTATTCCAACTTTTACCCAGTTATTTATTCCTCCATCCTTACCCGTTGGCAGGGTTGTTGGTCTTTAGTTGCTGGTAACAACCTGAGTACTCTTAAAGAGTAGTGTGTCACCCATGGCCTTCCTCCTACCACCATTACCGATGGTGGGAAACGGGTCCGGGAAGGTTGCATATTCGCCATACACGCTTAACTCGTGGTCACTTAATGGAGTGCCGCCCTGCTCCTTATTGTCCAAACTACATTGTCCCTCTTACAGTCATTCATATCCTTGTTGAATGTCCTGACTTCTGGGATGAGCGTGTGCTTTCCAACCATCCCTCGCGGTCACTTGTCCCTCGATAGAATTCTTGGTGACTCGGATACTTTTGATATCATTCGCCTTATGCATTTCTGTTCTCGTATTGGCATCCTTGGTGATATTTAGCGCCCTTTGATTATTCAGCACATTTGGTGGTGCTACATATTCCTACATGTGTCCCGGTTTGGTGCCTTCTTTTGATAATTAATTACCTGTTTGCTATGCAAATGCAGCTTCAGGCCGGGTCCTCCAAGCATCCCCTCTACCGTACAGCTGACCTCAACCGGACTGCTGCCCCTCAACCGGACTGCTGCCCCTCAACCGGACTGCTGCCCCTCAACCGGACTGCTGCTACTAAGCCCCAGATATAAGAATTCTGGAGCCGCCGCTCTTAGTCATCTCATTATTTTTGCTTTCTCATTTTCAGTTTTTAATTATCTCTTTGTTTTCTCACCACACCCTCGCTTTCTCTCGCCCACTTCCACCCCCTCGATTTGTTTTCCCCTTGCTTAATGTTCACTTTCTCTTCCTACTGGTTGTATTCCTTCTCGGTGTGAACTGTTTTCTTCCCTAACTTTGTGTTTCCCTTTCTTTCTCATATTTTAAATATCTGTTCCCTCATTTTTTACTTTTATTCTGCTTTCTTTTCCCTTCCTACCTTTCCACTTTCTCTCTCCTCCTCCCTTGCTTTTCTATTTATTTGTTATCACTTGTCCAATTTTGTTCTTATTTCTCCTTTTTTTCCCCCGATTTTACTTTCTATTTCCTCTCCCTCCCCCCACATCCCTCCCGTCTGCTGTCTCTTAACATGACTTTTTTTTTTTTTACTTCTTCAAACTTCTTTCCCTGGCTGAGGAGTCGTGCTGTGATGACCCCGGGAGTGTTTGCCTTGTGAGGCTCCTCCAGTGACCGAAGGATAGCAGATAGACTAAGTGTTCAGTCACCTAAGTCAGTGGCTCCTTTACTGCAGCTTGCATCCATTTGGTTTTTAAAATTTGTTATTGTATAAATTTACGATGTTTATACGTAGATAATTATAAATTTATACATGTATAAATTTACATAGTTTATACATATACATGTTTATACTGTTTCTTGTATATAATAAAACAGCAAAAAAATTCTCACATGACTGTTCTTAATCCTGTGTAATCACAGAGCCAGATCCCCTCTGGTTTGATTATGAGCTTGGTTAAAAAAATATTAACCATAAATGATTATGGTTAAATAAATATTTTAAACGGAACACAACTAGAATCATTATAAACCCTCGTGGAATTCATATTTTATTATGGACTCCCCCATTACATAATGGGCCCTGCCAATGACTCCCCCATTAAATAATGGACTTGTCCAATGTGCTTTTCGAGCGAAGAACATTACTGGAAAATTCAAAAAATGTCTTGAAATGCATATTTAATTAAAAAATTCACATTGATACAGACACCCCTATTTTCAAAATGGACCTGCCAAAGACTCCCCCATTAAACAATGGACTCGTCCAATGTGCTTTTCGAGCGAAGGACATTACTGGAAAATTAAAAAAATGTCTTGAAATGCACATTTAATTAAAAAATTCACATTGATGTAGACTCCCCTGTTTTCATAATGGACCCTGCCAAGGACCCACCCATTAAATAATGGACTCACCCGACATGCTTTTCGAGCAAAAGACATTACTGGAAAATTAAAAAAATGTCTTGAAATGCACATTTAATTAAAAAATGCGCATTGATGCAGACACCCCTATTTTGAAAATGGACCCACCCAAGGACTCACCCATTAAATAATGGACTCGCCCAACGTGCTTTTCGAGCGAAGGACATTACTGGAAAATTCAAAAAATGTCTTGAAATGCACATTTAATTAAAAAATGCGCATTGAAGCAGACACCCCTATTTTGAAAATGGACCCACCCAAGGACTCACCCATTAAATAATGGACTCGCCCAACGTGCTTTTCGAGCGAAGGACATTACTGGAAAATTCAAAAAATGTCTTGAAATGCACATTTAATTAAAAAATGCGCATTGATGCAGACACCCCTATTTTGAAAATGGACCCACCCAAGGACTCACCCATTAAATAATGGACTCGCCCAACGTGCTTTTCGAGCGAAGGACATTACTGGAAAATTCAAAAAATGTCTTGAAATGCACATTTAATTAAAAAATGCGCATTGATGCAGACACCCCTATTTTGAAAATGGACCCACCCAAGGACTCACCCATTAAATAATGGACTCGCCCAACGTGCTTTTCGAGCGAAGGACATTACTGGAAAATTCAAAAAATGTCTTGAAATGCACATTTAATTAAAAAATGCGCATTGATGCAGACACCCCTATTTTGAAAATGGACCCACCCAAGGACTCACCCATTAAATAATGGACTCGCCCAACGTGCTTTTCGAGCGAAGGACATTACTGGAAAATTCAAAAAATGTCTTGAAATGCACATTTAATTAAAAAATGCGCATTGATGCAGACACCCCTATTTTGAAAATGGACCCACCCAAGGACTCACCCATTAAATAATGGACTCGCCCAACGTGCTTTTCGAGCGAAGGACATTACTGGAAAATTAAAAAAATGTCTTGAAATGCACATTTAATTAAAAAATGCGCATTGATACAGACACCCCTATTTTCATAATGGACCCACCCAAGGACTCCCCTTAAATAATGGACTCGCCCAAAGTGGTTTTCGAGGGACGGACATTACTGGAAAATTCAAAACTGCACATTGATGTAGACTCCCCTCTTGTGACAATGGCCTCGCCGCTGCCCCAGACGAAGTCTTCACATTCAACTCTTAATTATATTTACAAGTCCACATTATGGTGGTGGAACATCTTATCTACTTGTCTTGGACTTATTTATATTCCTGATCAATATATGTAGGAAAATTATTACATAAATCAGTATTTATTTATTTATTTGAGAAAATGTGGATACATAGTTTAATAATAGAAGATACATTACATCCGAGTTAATACATGTGTATTATACATCAGAGTATATGTAATATATAACAGTCCCGTGTATAACACATTTTGAAAGGGTATAACAACCGTTGGGTACACCTGTATACATGATAACATGTTGTTGGTGTTCAGTAAGAGCATGTTGCAAAGCTTTTGAATAGCTAGCATCTCTGTTTATAAAGTCGAAGTATACATACTGTTAGTGATACATAATACATAAACTTCTCGTTAACACATGTATCATTTTAAGTATACAGAATACCCTGGTTATCATCACTAGTTAAGTAGGTTCCTTTACCATAGTATTGCAGGTGTTTTAAGTGTGTTTTATGGGTTTTAATATTATTATTTTATTTTAACAATGTTTCAGATGTTAAACAGTATTTTTTAACACGGTTGCAAAAGCTTTATTAACAGTTGCAGATGTTTTTGTAGAGGTGCAGGTGTTGCAACAGGAGTGCAGGTGATTTAAGTGTTGCAAGTGTTTTCACAGTGCAGATATTGTTTTCACTCTTGCAGGTGTTTAATTAACATTTGCTATATAACTTGCGTCCAGAGGCGGCGCCATTTGTAGTTTCATAAAATACATTACAGAAGTTGACTTCGTTCTCGACTCACAATCAGGGATCCTGGGTTCATTTCCGGCCGGGATTGAATGGAATGATTACGTTTCCTTTTATCTAATGCTCTCTTTACAATGAATTATAATTTTTATATTAAGTTGGAGGCCAGATGCGAAGGCTTACCTTCAGCCAACTTTGCATAGTGAATGGTGGAGGGTAGGGGACTGTCATAAGAGGGTTGGGAGCAGCCCCATTGCCCCCCATTAAGATAGGTCAGCTCCCATTACGACTCTCATTAAGTCTAAAATGTTTTTTTTTTCTCCCGAGTGTTTTTGTTTTAATACTATGGCAGATTAGCATTCTGGAGCTCCATTATGTGCCCAACACTTTCTACTATTGCCCATAGGATGGGTATGGGGTGCATAATAAATCAACAAATGGAGTTCCTAGCATTTCAATGGTGCATCATTTTGCTGTCGACCCGAGCACAGCCAGACACGCCATCTTGTATAAACACAATTTTCTCTTCCACACACGCCACAACCCGCCTCTTCTGTCTGCTCCCTCTGGACCGGACGTAGGGCTGTAGACGTCTCCTCAGCCATATCCTTTAATGAGAACAAAAACAGGTTTACTTATGATCCCGAGATGTTGGTGGCAAGTGTAGCACCACAACGTGAGGGAGAGCCAAGGAACAATGGGAGGAGAAAATAAGAGCATTAGCTAGATAAAGAAAATGAACAAGCTTCTTAAAGAAAACGGGATAATTGGTTAAATATTTTCTAGCTGGATAACAAAAATGGGTTATCTGAATAAAAAAAACTAGCTCGGTGCACGAACATATTAAGGGTAGTAATAAAAATATCTTTACTGTATCATTTATTTGCCAAGTGATTCACAGATTAATAAAAATGCAAAGAAAATATCTTAAAAAAATAGCTAGTTTCTTAAGTACAGTTTACTTGACTAATATGCCAAGAGTGGTAAGACAACCGGTTGACACGATATAAACACACGGGCGGCCATTTGCAATGTTTGTACCTGGAATACTATGAGGGGGAACTACGGGGAGACTGTGTAATACTTGTATGGACACCAGAACTAGCAAGCTTGGAAAAATTAATGTATTCACACAAGTTTACAGTGGAAGGTATGTTAAGCTGCCCTTAATACCTAGCGATATCATCAAATGTTGGTTACAAACACCTAGCGATATTATCACCAAGTTGTTGTAAACACCTAGCAATATTATGGCGTGCCTGTGACCACCAACAAAGCTTTGCATGATTTATAAGACAATAAATTTGTTAAGTTTACTTAATAGTAATTCAGAGCGACTCCATCTCTTCAGGCTGCATCTGCGGCCTCCGCCACAACTGGCCAAGACTCGCGCAGGACTTCAAAACTCTTCTTGGAACCCGGTTCCAGTCTCTGTTTACTCTTAAAAATGTACTGGGATGTCCAGTTGAAACCTTAAAGGAGCTTCGAATCACAGCGTTATTTCATACCCAAAATTGAAGCTATATTAGCTCATATATCATTTGGAACAATGAAACATAGGTACAGTGCGTATATTAAATGTTTGTAGTAAATGAAATACGATTAAATTCGTCTTAAATCTTGCGTATGAATAATGTGATTCGAAACTTCGGAAAGGTTTCTTGTCGACATCTGTATTTGGCCTTACTCTAGTCCATTGAAGAGAGCTTAAAATTACTTTACATTCAAATACACCTGTTCTCTGTATGGCTGTATATGCATCTGCTTGATTGTAAGTAAATTACTGACACTTCAGCAGAAAGAACCCTGAGTTAAGGTCCTTTTGTCTCACTCTGGCTTTACCCCTGAAATGCACAGCTATTTACAAGTACCACATGAAGGGGCGCATGACTTTAGTTAACATATCAAAGGGGGAAAAAAATCTCATAAGGGGTTGGAGCAGTGTAAGGGTTAATGGCAGGTGACATTTTTTTGGTTGTTGTCGAGACTCAACCAGGACTTGCAAAATGTCCCAGTCACATTATAATTCCATTCACAGCCCAGGTAAATGGAATTACAAAACATTGTTTACACAGCAGCCATTATCCATGTGAAGACATATATATTTATATAGATATATATATATATATACAAAGCTAATTATCGGAATGTTACATGGTTCATTAATCTTCATAATGGACTCCTCTTAGCATATTCAAGAAACCTATTTACAAAATGTCTGACTAATCATATAATTCATCACTGGTTAAACAGAATATTCTCCAGTTGTCATAAGAAAATTACAAATTGTATAAAGCATTTAATATTATACAGCAATTGTATTATGTAAAACCTGCCACAGTCTCTTGTATCTTTAAATAATATACTGTTAAAGTGAACTTTATAGTCTTACCTACTTATAAAGTCTAGTACAGAGACCCAGAGGTTCCTGTTACACGGCTGCAGTTCGAGCCACAAAGTGACTATATTATACCTACAAAGGTGTTCACGTCAGACCTTGACAAAGCCTCGTATCATAATATTATTTATACACCAAACTGAAGATAAATCAGTTCAGAATCACTATATGCAATAGCAAGGATCATTTTGATAATTAAATATTGGTTCATTTATCTTGAAATGTGCATGTAAATAATACTGATAGCAAGCTTGGTAAAGGTTTGTGTGGATGCCTTATTAGTCGTGGTGAGTACTGGCAGCCTCGCCCCAGTCAGCGACGTATGCGCGGGTAAACCGTTGACAACGTTATTGACGTAACATTCAGCGTTGAATTAACGTCATTATTAGATATTGTGGCAAGTCGGTAACAGCCTCCTAGATCCCAGATCCCAATCACCATCCCAACACAACAATGGCTTCCCTGCGTCACCGTACAGTGAGTGGTTGGTGGAAATAGCCTAAGCTACTCTTCTCGTTTTGGGATGTGCATTAATATCTCGCTAGAAAGTAACTTGAACTCGCCTGACTCGCTCTCCTACCACCCGGGCCTGGACAAGGATTCATCAAGGATTACAATAGCAACCACCTATCTTTATCCAACCAGCGAAATCTAAGAATTTACATAACCACCTACGACATCTTTACATTTTTCTTCAATCACAGTGGCTTTGTTTACATTCAATAGTTTATTAGCCCTAAAAGCATTGTGAGGTTGTTTATAACAATAATAACCTTGGCTTGTGAAGCTGCCAAGCTCGTAAACTGTTCAGTAAATGTAAACAAAGTCGCCGTGATTAGTGACAGATGCACAGGTTTCGTAAATGCTCCATGAATCGTGGCCAAGATGGTCACACTGACTACTTCAAACTGACGCCTGGGGCCAGTTTCACGAAGCAGTTACGCAAGTACTTACGAACGTGTACATCTTTCCTCAATCTTTGACGGCTTTGATTACATTTATTAAACAGTTTACAAGCATGAAAACTTGCCAATCAACTGTTGTTATTGTTATAAACAGCCTCCTGGTGCTTCGGAGCTCATTAACTGTTTAATAATTGTAAACAAAGCCGCCAAAAATTGAGAAAAGATGTACTGGTTTGTAAGTACTTGCGTAACTGCTTCGTGAATCTGGCTCCTGGTATTTACGAACTAGCCTCACTAAATTCCATGGTACCTTCGCCTTGTTATACTGGAGACCAAATGCCCCACGTCTGACGTCAGCCCGTCCTCCGCCCCCACTGACAGCTGCTGACGTTTTAGTCAGCAGTTGACGAATACCTCTGGCAACCAACCGGCAATGAATAAATGTTGCCAATAGTGTAAATAAAACAATTTTTTGCGCAAATATAAATATTATTATCTACTGGGGAGTTATGAATAGTTAGATCTAGGTAAGGTTAGGTTAAGATGTTTTGATTACGTTGACTTGGGTACTGTTTTCAGGAGAGGCTGAAGGAAATGTTTCGAGTCATAAGTTCGAACTAGACTATTTCCGTAGTCCATATTCTGTACATAAACATCCTACAACCCGTCCTCCTACGGGTTGGAGGATGGAGCGTCTCATTGTTGACGTACACTCTACCTAAGACCCCCCAAAATCGTCGTACTAGAAAATGGAAGCGGCTCGCGAAATTGACGTACTGTCTCGACTGATGCTTCGGATCCTCTGGTAGGTCAGGACAACGGCACTTTAGATTGACCGTTTCTTGGCGTTTTGAAACCTTTGGAGGGCGTTCGCGAAACGAGCGCGCGAAGCCTAACTACCTGTTAAGGATCTTCTGTTCGTTTGTCAGAGATACTGCCGCGTGGACACTGATGTCTGACGTAACAGTGCCAGCATGTTCAGTGTCTGGCGCAACAGTGCCAGCATGTTCAGTGTCTGGCGCAACAGTGCCAGCATGTTCAGTGTCTGGCGCAACAGTGCCAGCATGTTCAGTGTCTGGCGCAACAGTGCCAGCATGTTCAGTGTCTGGCGCAACAGTGCCAGCATGTTCAGTGTCTGGCGTAACAGTGCCAGCATGTTCAGTGTCTGGCATAACAGTGCCTAACTAGTGGCAACAACATTCAAGAACGGAGCAGGTTCGATGCCAAAATCACCGTTGTCAACGGTGAAGGACCATTTTCAAAGTCGAACCGGAGCCGCTGTTGCATACTGTGCACTCTGGCTGCATGAACATAATCCATCTTCAAAGTAAACTCGTATATACAGCGAGAAGCAGAGTATACCTCTCAGGTATATATCCCTACTCACCACTTGCTTACGACTCAACGGTGAAGAATATCCAACGGGATATATACACCGCGAAGTGAAGGAGCAATGAAAAATACTGCGGTTCTTCTGTTCAATTATAAATCTGCGACCCTCGGAATGTTCATTCAATAACAAACTTGAAGATGTTCAGAACCTCACCAAAGGAGAAGGATGTCGTTGACGTAAGGGAGTGACGGTTGAGTGACAGATGCTAGCCCATTCCTGCCTCTCACAGCTACTGGACCACTACGACAAAGTCACCGAGGCATTAGAAGAAAAACAGAATGCAGATTGTGGTATTCACTTCGCAATTCGAAGTGACCATGGAGTGATAGCACATAAAATGCTTGTGATCTATTCACAGGTCTATGCTGCTGGGGGAGAGGGGGGGGGGGGGTTGCCTATAGGCCTACGTGTTGCCTATATATGGCCAGGTTCTGCCACATGTGGCAAGGAGAGTCCCCCGTGACTATACTTGTTTCTGAACGCGACTGGCTAGTATAGTACCCCCCCCCCCCCGCTCCTGGCCCCTTGCTGTCTTGTAGACGGGCGATAGCTCACAGATGTCTGTTGTAAGCTGGTTACAGCTGGCTGTACCCGCTGTTACAGCTGGCTGTACCCGCTGTTACAGCTGGTTGTACCCGCTGTTACAGCTGGCTGTACCCGCTGTTACAGCTGGCTGTACCCGCTGTTACAGCTGGCTGTACCCGCTGTTACAGCTGGCTGTACCCGCTGTAACAGCTGCGTGTGGTGCTCTTGTCCACACCCACCACAGATATTCTTTCATAAGTGATCAGCCGAGACTGACAGACACGCGGTTAAACGTTCAAAATAAGTCTGTTTAGCAGGACGTTTAACGTTCCCTTATGCTAGGCTCAAGTCCCCAGGTTCAGCTGGTCAATGGTGTGACTGGTGTGTAATCAGATGTAAACAAAGCCGCCATGATTGAGGAAAGATGTAAAGGTTTCGTACGAGAACACGTCCGTACTGCACAAGTCCACGTTACAATTCACTACCAAACCCCTTACCTGTTGGTCCCAGCAAAAAAAGGGAACAATATACCAGTTACTTCAAATATACAAGTTTAAAACGAGTATTTGTAGGGCAATAAAGTCTTTGCAATAAAGTCTTGGCAAAAAAGTCTTGGCAATAAAGTCTTTGCAACAAAGTCTTTGCAATAAAGTCTTTGCAACAAAGTCTTGGCAAAAAAGTCTTGGCAATAAAGTCTTTGCAATAAAGCCTTTGCAACAAAGTCTTGGCAATAAAGTCTTTGCAATAAAGTCTTTGCAACAAAGTCTTGGCAATAAAGTCTTTGCAACAAAGTCTTGGCAATAAAGTCTTTGCAATAAAGCCTTTGCAACAAAGTCTTGGCAATAAAGTCTTTGCAATAACGTCTTTGCAATAAAGTCTTTGCAATAAAGTCTTTGCAACAAAGTCTTTGCAATAAAGTCTTGGCAAAAAAGTCTTGGCAATAAAGTCTTTGCAATAAAGCCTTTGCCACAAAGTCTTGGCAATAAAGTCTTTGCAATAAAGTCTTTGCAACAAAGTCTTGGCAATAAAGTCTTTGCAACAAAGTCTTGGCAATAAAGTCTTTGCAATAAAGCCTTTGCAACAAAGTCTTGGCAATAAAATCTTTGCAATAAAGTCTTTGCAACAAAATCTTGGCAATAAAGTCTTTGCAACAAAGTCTTGGCAATAAAGTCTTTGCAATAAAGCCTTTGCAACAAAGTCTTGGCAATAAAGTCTTTGCAATAAAGTCTTTGCAACAAAGTCTTGGCAATAAAGTCTTTGCAATAAAGCCTTTGCAACAAAGTCTTGGCAATAAAGTCTTTGCAACAAAGTCTTTGCAATAAAGTCTTTGCAATAAAGTCTTTGCAACAAAGTCTTGGCAATAAAGTCTTTGCAATAAAGCCTTTGCAACAAAGTCTTGGCAATAAAGTCTTTGCAATAAAGTCTTTGCAACAAAGTCTTGGCAATAAAGTCTTTGCAATAAAGTCTTTGCAACAAAGTCTTGGCAATAAAGTCTTTGCAACAAAGTCTTGGCAATAAAGTCTTTGCAATAAAGCCTTTGCAACAAAGTCTTGGCAATAAAGTCTTTGCAATAAAGTCTTTGCAACAAAGTCTTGGCAATAAAGTCTTTGCAATAAAGTCTTTGCAACAAAGTCTTGGCAATAAAGTCTTTGCAATAAAGCCTTTGCAACAAAGTCTTGGCAATAAAGTCTTTGCAATAAAGTCTTTGCAACAAAGTCTTGGCAATAAAGTCTTTGCAACAAAGTCTTGGCAATAAAGTCTTTGCAATAAAGTCTTTGCAACAAAGTCTTGGCAATAAAGTCTTTGCAATAAAGTCTTTGCAATAAAGCCTTTGCAATAAAGCCTTTGCAATAAAGCCTTTGCAATAAAGCCTTTGCAATAAAGCCTTTGCAATAAAGCCTTTGCAATAAAGCCTAGTGAATATATTTTGGAGAGGTTGCAATTTCAATTGAAAATAAAAAAACGAAGAAAATAAAAACAGAAGTTTTCGACATTATCCTGAGTCATAATTACTTGTAGAAATGTTGTTGTTGTTGTTGTCAGGGATTAACACTTCCGGTTGAGTTTGTGTTCATGTTCACCTTCACTGAACATTACCTATCCCTGTGTTCACCTTCATTGAACATCACTGAAGAGGGAGCCGGTCGGCCGAGCGGACAGCACGCTGGACGTGTGATCCTGTGGTCCTGGGTTCGATCCCGGGCGCCGGCGAGGAACAATGGACAAAGTTTCTTTCACCCTATGCCCCTGTTACCTAGCAGTAAAATAGGTACCTGGGTGTTAGTCAGCTGTCACAGGCTGCTTCCTGGGGGTGGAGGCCTGGTCGAGGACCGGGCCGCGAGGACACTAAAGCCCCGAAATCATCTCAAGTTAACCTCAAGAAGATAACATTACCTATCCCTGTGTTCATGTTCACCTTCACTGAACATTACCTATCCCTGTGTTCACCTTCACTGAACATTACCTATCCCTGTGTTCACCTTCACTGAACATTACCTATCCCTGTGTTCACCTTCACTGAACATTACCTATCCCTGTGTTCATGTTCACCTTCACTGAACATTACCTATCCCTGTGTTCACCTTCACTGAACATTACCTATCCCTGTGTTCACCTTCACTGAACATTACCTATCCCTGTGTTCACCTTCACTGAACATTACCTATCCCTGTGTTCATGTTCACCTTCACTGAACATTACCTATCCCTGTGTTCACCTTCACTGAACATTACCTATCCCTGTGTTCACCTTCACTGAACATTACCTATCCCTTTGTTCAAAAATATTGCCAGATCAACATTGTTCCTGTTATGGTCAAGTAATATCTATATCTATCTACTGTTATATCTATATACTGCTGATTCTTCCAGTGGTGCTTGTAATTTATCTTTTCCAACAATTTGGGAGTTTTGCTAGCCAGTTCATCCCGAGACTATCCTCGTAACAGATCCCGGATCTATCGGCCTCTATTTCGTGACAGAGGTGGACAGGTGAGGCTTGTTAAACAACAGGTGTGGTTTTGGAGCCAGTGGAGGAGGGACGGGGCTAGGAAGCGGAGGTTTGGAACGGGAGAGTGGAAGCCAGATCTTCCACTTAGGAGGTTTGATAGTGGTTAGTAGGGGTTTGGCACTCTGCCTGCTGGAGGTGGGTGCGTGGGTTGGGACCCCGTCAGGAGGAGGAGGGGGGCCGTCCCTACACCTTGTTGTCGAAAGAGTACTGCTTCCGTCGCCAGAAGCCTCGGAAGAAGTTAAACCGGAACTTGGAGCCTTCGCTGCCTTCTGAAAGCGAGAAGACACATTATTAATACCAGACAAACACTATACAATGTATATTATTAAGGTGGAAATGTGAGCATCCAAGGAATATCAAATCAATTGAGGTAGAATATCTGGGAATAATAATTAGTAATAATACAGAAATTACATTAATGTGATTTCCCACTACACCCACCTAGGCTGGTGGGTGTAGTGGCTGGTCTCTTGAGCGCAGGCGGGAGAGATACATAATAATTTACACGTGGAAAATAGTAGAGGGGCTGGTCCCAAACCTGCACACAGAAATAACATCACATGAGACCAGGAGGCATGGCAGGATGTGCAGAATACCCCCGTTGAAGAGCAGAGGTGCAACAGGTACTCTGAGAGAGAACTATCAACATCAGAGGCCCGAGACTGTTCAACACGCTTCCACTACACATAAGGGGCATAACTGGCCGACCCCTCACAGTGTTCAAGAGAGAACTCTATCAACATCAGAGGCCCGAGACTGTTCAACACGCTTCCACTACACATAAGGGACATAACTGGCCGACCCCTCACAGTGTTCAAGAGAGAACTATCAACATCAGAGGCCCGAGACTGTTCAACACGCTTCCACTACACATAAGGGACATAACTGGCCGACCCCTCACAGTGTTCAAGAGAGAACTATCAACATCAGAGGCCCGAGACTGTTCAACACGCTTCCACTACACATAAGGGACATAACTGGCCGACCCCTCACAGTGTTCAAGAGAGAACTATCAACATCAGAGGCCCGAGACTGTTCAACACGCTTCCACTACACATAAGGGGCATAACTGGCCGACCCCTCACAGTGTTCAAGAGAGAACTATCAACATCAGAGGCCCGAGACTGTTCAACACGCTTCCACTACACATAAGGGACATAACTGGCCGACCCCTCACAGTGTTCAAGAGAGAACTATCAACATCAGAGGCCCGAGACTGTTCAACACGCTTCCACTACACATAAGGGACATAACTGGCCGACCCCTCACAGTGTTCAAGAGAGAACTATCAACATCAGAGGCCCGAGACTGTTCAACACGCTTCCACTACACATAAGGGACATAACTGGCCGACCCCTCACAGTGTTCAAGAGAGAACTATCAACATCAGAGGCCCGAGACTGTTCAACACGCTTCCACTACACATAAGGGGCATAACTGGCCGACCCCTCACAGTGTTCAAGAGAGAACTATCAACATCAGAGGCCCGAGACTGTTCAACACGCTTCCACTACACATAAGGGACATAACTGGCCGACCCCTCACAGTGTTCAAGAGAGAACTATCAACATCAGAGGCCCGAGACTGTTCAACACGCTTCCACTACACATAAGGGACATAACTGGCCGACCCCTCACAGTGTTCAAGAGAGAACTATCAACATCAGAGGCCCGAGACTGTTCAACACGCTTCCACTACACATAAGGGACATAACTGGCCGACCCCTCACAGTGTTCAAGAGAGAACTATCAACATCAGAGGCCCGAGACTGTTCAACACGCTTCCACTACACATAAGGGACATAACTGGCCGACCCCTCACAGTGTTCAAGAGAGAACTATCAACATCAGAGGCCCGAGACTGTTCAACACGCTTCCACTACACATAAGGGGCATAACTGGCCGACCCCTCACAGTGTTCAAGAGAGAACTATCAACATCAGAGGCCCGAGACTGTTCAACACGCTTCCACTACACATAAGGGGCATAACTGGCCGACCCCTCACAGTGTTCAAGAGAGAACTATCAACATCAGAGGCCCGAGACTGTTCAACACGCTTCCACTACACATAAGGGACATAACTGGCCGACCCCTCACAGTGTTCAAGAAAGAAATTGACATACGCCTCCAAAGGATACCTGATCAACCAGGCTGTGACTCATACATCAGGCTGCGAGCAGCCGCGTCCAACAGCCTGGTTAACCAGTCCAGCAACCAGGAGGTGAAGTCAGAGACCGGGCCGCGGGGACGTTGATCCTCGGAAGGAAGGCAGTGTTAGGTGGCCCACTACACCCCACCTACACCCCACCAACACCCTGGCCTCTCGCAGGTATAAATAGTTTCACCAGCAACCACGTCCCTGTTAACTAGGGCACGCATGAGCGCGCGCACACGCGCCACCTAGCCCAAGTACGCGCTATATCATCTTTCCAACCACGCGTACACACATACCCAACCACGCGTACACACATACCCAACCACGCGTACACACATACCCAACCACGCGTACACACATACCCAACCATGCGTACACACATACCCAACCATGCGTACACCACACCCAACCACGCGTACACACATACCCAACCACGCGTACATACATACCCAACCACGTGTACACACATACCCAACCACACGTACACACACACCCAACCACGCATACACACATACCCGACCATGTGTACACACACCCAACCACACGTACACACATACCCAACCACGCGTACACACATACCCAACCACGCGTACACACATACCCAACCACGCGTACACACATACCCAACCACGCGTACACACATACCCAACCACGCGTACACACATACCCAACCACGCGTACACACACACCCAACCACACGTACACACATACCCAACCACGCGTACACACATACCACGCACACATACCCAACCACGCGTACACACATACCCACCATGTGTACACATACCCGACGTACACACACCCAACCACACGTACACACATACCAACCACGCGTACACACATACCCAACCACGCGTACACACATACCCAACCACGCGTACACACATACCCAACCACGCGTACACACACACCCAACCACACGTACACACATACCCAACCACGCATACATACCCAACCACACATACATACCCAACCACGCGTACACACATACCCAACCACGCGTACACACACACCCAACCACGCGTACACACACACCCAACCACACGTACACACATACCCAACCACGCGTACACACATACCCAACCACACATACATACCCAACCACGCGTACACACATGCCCAACCACACGTACACACATGCCCAACCACACGTACACACATACCCAACCACGTGTACACACACATACCCAACCACATGTACACACATAACCAACCACGCGTACATACATATCCAACCAATCATACACACACATATGTGGGATGCGTAGAACTGAGGACATCTCCCTGTGTCGTTCCGGAGTTCGAATCCCTCTTGTTACACTATAGCTGACTTCCTGTTGGATAGACACTCCTATCCAGCGTAGAAGCCGTCCCCTAGCCATCACTTTGGCAAGCTCATCCTGACTGACATGTTGGTTAGATGACATAAGATCTAGCCCATTGCTAACCAACAAGTCAGTCTGAGTGGACTTGCCAAAACGATAGCTAGGGGGATGGCTACTACAATGGATAGGAGGCTATCTATCCAACAGGAAGTCATTTGTACTGTCCCGGGGGCATAGGAGTGTAACGAGAGATTTTGAACATGGCGCTCCACAGGGCGGCGTCCTCAGTCCTGTCCTGTTCAATGTGTTGATCAATGCACTGCTAAACTCAGCAACTAGGAGGCCCAGCGGTATATCCTGGTATATCATCCGCATCATGAGCTATACGGATGATGTAACACCCAGGACCTCCCCCCCCTTAGAGTTCACACCCAGGGAAGCCTTCTCCAAGAGGTCAGCCCAGATGACCTCCGGTTTATCTTGTATATTGATTAAAAATTCCTGGGTTAGTCTTAGTCAGCAGAGTTTCAAGTATGTAATATTTCATGCAAGGAAATTAGACTCCAGATTCTTATGTGTAAACATCCCTGGATCTCCCCCTTTTGGCCAGGTCAGAGGTCAGCCACACACGTAATTAATAACTCCTCTCTTGAAGAGTGTATGGTGAATGTCAAACAAGCTTATTGAAATATTTCTTGAGTGTTTGTACACTTTTGGTGGGTAGCAACAGCAGATCTCCCCCTCCCCCCTGTGGGGGTTGTATATAGAGGGCCTGTAGGAACATAGGAGGGGCAGAGGGCGGTACACCGGGATCGAGAGCGGGGCTGTGAAGAACATCTCAGCCCGGGAGAGAGATAGCTTAAGGTAATGTGTGTGATCTCTGAGTTTTTGTTCCATGTCCAAATTTCTTAACTTTTTGCCAGTGTTAGTGTAGCATGTATAAGTAGTGATTGACATAATTTTGGTCTCAATAAACTCGTTAAATTTCCCGTCTGTGTCAATTGTTGAATCCTCTTAGCCTTTTGGATATAGTGGCTGACAACCGTTTTCAAAATTAATGACAGTCATAGAAAGTACTCTCCAAGTCAAGCAATGTTTCTTGCCTCGTTGCTTGATATAGTTTCAATGGTCAAAGGCAGATGGTGGCAGCGTATTTAATCCTTGTGTTAGCATTTCCTTATTGGCAGTGTACCTTTGGTTCCGGTGTAACCATCATATGTCGGCTCATAACAGTGTTATCAAGTGCAACCGATGAGGAAGTGTTACTCAGGATAAGTAGTGTTTACATTAGTAACCATTTTTTTTGTGTTCCATTATAGTGGTACATTTTAGGGTGGTGTTACAAGAGGGCGGTATTACAATGATATACTGATCCAAACCAATGGGTATATCCATGGGTGTATTCTTGAAGGTCACCATCACTTGCGGATTACCAAAACCCGCCACTGTGCTCAGAATGTATAATGTTCATTATCTCTACCAAGAGAGATAACAATGACACTCTCTTGTCCCCCTCTATCTACTTACTACCCGTCTTTCCAAGAGGTTCCAGGAGCCAGATTCACGAAGCAGTTACGCAAGTACTTACGAACGTGTACATCTTTCCTCAATCTTTGACGGCTTTGGTTACATTTATTAAACAGTTTACAAGCATGAAAACTTGCCCAATGAACTGTTGTTATTGTTATAAACAGCCTCCTGGTGCTTCGGAGCTCATTAACTGTTTAATAATTGTAAACAAAGCCGCCAAAGATTGAGAAAAGATGTACAGGTTCGTAAGTGCTTGCGT